CCTCATGTTGATTCTGTCACGTTTGTACAAAGCCCATTACGTTGTTCCTGTCACGTTCATTCAATTTTATCATGTTGATTTTTCTTTCATATTCTTACAAACCTCGTTATAGTTATATATTGATTTTATTTTATTAAAAAAATAAACCAAAAGAACAAAGGCTTTAAAAAAATCAATGTCGTTTCCCCTCCCCTTAAAACGCCTTTTTTTACGATCTATTTCAACAAGCCGCGATACACAGACCTAAACTCACTCAATTTTGTCAATAGTTTAATTCTTTGGTACAAAGTTTATATGGTTAGATTAGGGTTAGGATTATTTGTGGGTAAATTGGATAACTAAAATTGTTATTAGACCAATGGCTGTATTAAAACCGGTAGATCTGCTTTTATCTCTCGACCTTTGGTCTTACACATGGGAGAATGTGGGGGCAGGGAGGGTGGATTTTATTCAAATTAGCACGAATCTGTTTTTCTAATTAAACATGACCGTGTTCCTGGATTTGTTTCTAAAATGATTCTTCATTATACATCAAGCTAATCAGTTGCGTCACTGTCTAGATAGAAGAAATAGATTTGGTCTTGCAAATGACGGCAGTCGGAGAATTACATTAATTTATAATTGTTCAAATGTTAGGCCTACATTTATTCCTCATTGTTCAAATGTTAGGCCCTACATTTATTCCTCATTGCTCAAATGTTAGGCCCTACATTTATTCCTCATTGTTCAAATGTTAGGCCCTACATTTATTTCTCACTATTCAAATGTTAGGCCCTACATTTATTTCTCACTATTCAAATGTTAGGCCCTACATTTATTCCTCATTGTACAAATGTTAGGCGTACATTTATTTCTCATTGTTCAAATGTTAGGCGTACATTTATTTCTCATTGTTCAAATGTTAGGCCCTACATTGATTCGTCATTGTTCAAATGTTAGGCCTACATTTATTCCTCATTGTTTAAATGTTAGGCCTACATCTATTCCGCATTGTTCAAATGTTAGGCCTACATTTATTTCTCACTATTCAAATGTTAGGCCTACATTTATTTCTCACTATTCAAATGTTAGGCGTACATTTATTTCTCATTGTTCAAATGTTAGGCCCTACATTTATTCCTCATTGTTCAAATGTTAGGCCTACATTTATTCCTCATTGTTTAAATGTTAGGCCTACATCTATTCCGCATTGTTCAAATGTTAGGCCTACATTTATTTCTCACTATTCAAATGTTAGGCCTACATTTATTTCTCACTATTCAAATGTTAGGCGTACATTTATTTCTCATTGTTCAAATGTTAGGCCCTACATTGATTCGTCATTGTTCAAATGTTAGGCCTACATTTATTTCTCACTATTCAAATGTTAGGCCTACATTTATTCCTCATTGTTTAAATGTTAGGCCTACATCTATTCCGCATTGTTCAAATGTTAGGCCTACATTTATTTCTCACTATTCAAATGTTAGGCCCTACATTTATTCCGCATTGTTCAAATGTTAGGCCTACATTTATTTCTCCCCTTAAGCCCTCGCCGAATAGTTCCCACGACGGTGTCCCCCCCCCCCCCCCCTTTCCCCACTCCCAGCGACCATTCACAACGACCCTTGTGGCGACGGCTTAGTTTACTGTCTAAAGAAGAGAAGAAGAAAAAAGAAGCTTGGGGTGGGGGTTGCGCTAGGGGGAGGGAGGGGGGTTAAAGTTCATCTCTCCTAGTGCGGACGGATCCTAGTCTTAACGTTTCCGCTCGTCTGTAGCTGCTGTATTATTGTGACCTGGTTTTCATGCGGCTCCCGGTGGCATTGGGCTGTCTGGGCGAACACTGGCACAGTGGAGGGCTCCTGGAGGGGTAGCACTCGGGTGGTATAAATCACTCCCTCGTAAAACATTCATCTGAGTAGCAGAGGAACGCCTACTTTACTGGTCCGTCTCAAACTGTTTATCAACCGCTCGGCGCAGTACCGACAATGATAAAAGGTTGGGATAATTGCCGGGTGCACCAAGCGAGGCTGGGGCGAGGGTCGCGTCACGCCTCGCTCGCTTGTGTGCAGTTAACTTACAGGCCTACATGCTATTTTTTTTTCTTTGTCTTTTATAACCGCTAATGTTCACTAACTACATTCACGTTATAAACTACATTCACGTCACAAACTACATTCACGTCATTAACTACATTCACGTCACAAACTACATTCACGTTACAACCTACATTCACGTCACTAACTACATTCACGTCACAAACTACATTCACGTCACAAACTACATTCACGTCACAAACTACATTCACGTCACAAACTACATTCACGTCACAAACTACATTCACGTCACAAACTACATTCCCATTGATTATTCCATGACCTCCCCTCCCCTCCGCCCGCCCCCTCCCCCCCCCCCCCTGTTGGCTACATCAAGGAATCCATGTCTGGTCTAAAATAGTTTGCAATGAATTGAATGTTTTCTAATAAAAGAACAGTTAATGAGGGCCAGCTCGTGGGTCAACAAAGAGCCCTCGAAGAGAACTCACGAGATGTTTTGTCTGGTGTTTCTTGCTCCTATTGAAATGGATGTGGGGGAGTGATGGAGGGGCCCGGCTGGACGGCTGGGGGATGATTTGAAAGTCCGCTAGTCCGGCCCTCCCCACGGATGCGGCCCTCGGTAAAGCCCGGCCACGGCTGATCCGATTAGTCTTCCATTACTGGTAATGCCCGGACGCTTTTGAGAATAAAATGAATTGGCAGTGTGCTTGCCTCCCTACACACGGTGGGGGCTGGTGTGGGAGGAAGGAGATTGGGCAACAGCTGACGGGAGGGTGTGGGGGTCTTATCAGTGTCAAACTCTTACTTAACACTGGGACAGGACGCAGGCCTACAACGTGTGTAACTATACCTAACGGTCAACATTCCCTCTTAATGGAAAAGTCTAGTGTGCAACTTGTATTTTGTGTGCGCGGTGTTCTAAAAGTCTTATACCAGGATATATGTATTTTACAAAAGGACTGCGCGGCAGGTTTAAAACTACTGCGCGGCCGCGCAACCGCGCAGCGTAGGGGGAACACTGCTAACGATGCTGGTGTAATGGGGACACAGTAAAGTGCCATTTCAAACCTTACGGTTGGAAGTTCACCAGTTACAGTAAGCACGACGTATGAAATGATACAAGTCAGGACTGCCCAGCCTCCTATACCTAACGTGAGTCATGTATCTATCAGAGATGTGTGGACTCAGGAAAGTCTTACGTACTCAATCGTGGTATCCGAACTCAAGACCTTCGGGTTAGCAGCCACACGCTCTGTCACGCAGTCCAACATAATGTTGACATAGGGCCATCACGAGACATAACATCAGTTCAACATGACACATAATTGTTATATATCACTCGATGCTTCTAGTATGTGAAGATAGATTTGTTGGACATGATACAATTTTTTCAAGAACATAGAACAATTCTCGTACTGTATATCCTTGATAGCTTTACCCTTACGATACGTCAAAGGCTGAATGTATTGTTATACGTGTGGTGTACAGGCTTTGTAGCGTTTGTTGGTACGATTAAAGGACAAAAACCGCTAAGGGGGTCTTAATGTTCGAAGGTCGGTGTAGATCTATATACAGTCTCGTGTCGTGTTTCTTACGCTGGTGTCGATGTTAGGGTCGGGTCTTTGGATATTAGCATTTTAGATTGGAGTCGCTTTAGATACTGATATCAATAGGGGAGTAAGGTTTAGGGGGTATGGTGTAAAGATATGGCATATAATGATAGGACACATAATAGAATATACCATAATGATAGGACATATCAGAATCGGACTTGACATCTACATGCCGTCATGGTAGGACATTCCATAATTTTAGGACACAGCATCAGTATAAATAGGACATAGGGGCCTACCACCAACGTTCACTCTAAGGTGGAAAAGATAGTGTGCTACATGTATTTTGTCTGCGCGGTGTTCTAAAGGTCTTATTCAGGGATATATGCATGCTATGAAATGACTAAGCGGTAGCTCAAAAGTACTGCGCGGCCGCGCAACCGCACACGTTTGATGGAACATTGTCTACCACCATTATAAGACAGACATTTCCCCATTACAGGCCATATTATTGACAGAGAACTTCTCAAGGACTTGACTCTTGTTTTGAAATAACACGAAGACCCGCAGGATACCTTGAAACTAGCAGTATACGTTACCCCCCACCCCCACCGGCCCGCTGTGACCTGGTTCCTGTAAAACCCGAGTCCCCGCTTGACTAACCCCACACAGACAGCAGACCTATAACCGTTTGCCTTGGGCCGGTCTAGCAATCAATCAACCCCGGTCGTCAGGCGGCGGGGAGGGGAGGTGGCGGAAACGGGGCGGTCCCAGGTTTTTTCCCCCCACCTTCGTGAACCACAGCGGCGGGAGAGGTGGGGGGAGGCCAGTGTGGGATGTGCATTGACGAGAGTCAGTCATGTGTGTCAGTTGTTGGGGTACTGCTGCTGCACGTCGCTGCATGTTTCACAGTGAGTAGTGACTGGTACCTCACATCTCTGTGAGTAGTAGTGACTGGTACCTCAACTCGCCGTGAGTAGTAGTGACTGGTACCTTAGATCGCCGTGAGCAGTTGACTAGTACCTCAGCTGTTTGTGTGGAATAGTCTGTGGTTATGCTAGAGCTAGTTCTTGAATTGTGCGTTTTAACATAGCCAAACATCAAGATCAAATCAACTGTTTCTGTGAACTAAACATGAAGCCTTATTTTTCTGTGGACGTTGCTAAGCTTTACATGAAGGCTATTTTTGTGTGTGCCGTATCTGAGTGTTACACCAAGCCTAAAACTTGTGTGGACGTAGTTAAGTATTAAGTTTATGTACGCTAGTTGTGTAGACCTGCCTAATGTTTAATTTAATTTATTCTTATTTAAACTGTTGTAACTTTTTTACATGTATGCCTATTATTTCTGTGGATTTACCATGTGTTTGTTGTATTACGTCAGTCACCTAGTTTTTACTTGCATGATGAAAATGGACCTATATGAAGTCTCTAGTTACATGTATAACGTCACAAGTTTTTTCAAGACCATAAACTATGGTTGGTTCTACGATTTAATATTGTAAGCAGATGTTGTAGGCGTTAAACCATAGACAGCTGATGCTGTTGGGTGTAAACTTGGTTTGGGTTTGTTAAGTCTGATGCTATGTACGAGACTATGGTTGGAGTTTCTCTATCATAAAGCCAGCTTATTTAGTACTGTGATTTGTGATAGGAACGGTTCGTAGACCCAACCAACAATAAAACACTACTGATAAACGGAGCGTTTATAGTGTCGGCATAAAGTGATCTCGAAACCCATGTTCAACATTTGGGATGCATGTTAATAGTATAATATCGTACACCCGGGTTGCCGGCGTAATACACGTTTCTTATTATCATTTAGTGAAATGATCTCAATAAATGTGTCCTTGTAATACGCCGACAGCTCTAATCCCGGGTGTAGCAGCGATACACGAGGACAAATGACACGTTTTTTAAGAAATAACAAATGTTATCAAAGTGTATTATGTTTATAGTAAATCAATGTGTTATAATAATGTATTTGCAGTAAGAATCCATAACAAATGTTATCACAGCGTTATTGAATTTTTTCTTCCAGAAGGCAAGACCGAGCCCAGTAGCGCTAAGCGCCTGAGGATATCGGAATTGAACCCCCACCTTTTGTGTGCCCTGTGTGGAGGGTACCTTATCGACGCCACCACTATCATAGAATGCCTCCATTCGTGTAAGTTTCTTTCTTTACGTATTTGTTTGTCTGAATTCTTATAATGACGCTCCACCTTACAAACATGGAAAGTGAGAAAAAAAGTAAGTCTATAGGGCAAATGAAGTAGAGTTCAATTGTTTCTCTGACCTCGCCATATGAAGAGATAGTGTGGTCAGCACCATGCCCAGTCGCCTTTACCTTCCCTAATACTTTCCAGCTCTCTACCGCAAGACCACTCCGTCCCCCTGTTGAGCATGAAGCGGGTCCCATAACCTTTATCCCAACTACCCAGCGTGCTTCGTCATCCAGCGAGTCTCAAAACAAATACTCCCGTCCAGTCGGAGCTACTGCCCCACTATTACCTGACTACCTGTAATTATAACCTGTAACAGATAATGACCTATAAGATATACTGGTCTGCTAACGGACAACTGTGATTCGATCCTGGACTCCGTAAATCACTCGTGTCATGCTGGTAGCTGTCACAAGCACCTGGAGCGTCCAGTCTCTCGCGGGGCTATCAGTTTCCTGTGGTCATGTCCAGGTCACTGTAGCCGCCCCCCTGGCCTATGTTTACCTACACCAACAACAACCTGTTTCCCCTCCCCCCTCCCAGCACCAACCGTCACTACCTGAATGTAATGTTGTTCATCCACCATCACTACCTGAATTGTTCCTACATCCACTATCACTACCTGAATTGTTCCTACATCCACTATCACTACCTGAATTGTTCCTACATCCACTATCACTACCTGAATTGTTCTTACATCCACCATCACTACCTGAATTGTTCCTACATCCACCATCACTACCTGAATTGTTCCTACATCCACCATCACTACCTGAATTGTTCCTACATCCACTATCACTACCTGAATTGTTCCTACATCCACTATCACTACCTAAATTGTTTCTACTACATGTAATGGTGTTTATTGTAACCAAAACGTCCGTCTGTAGTTCACGCACACCTATTTTTAGCGCAATTTCCATACGGACAATTGCGATTATTAACTCGTCATTTCTGGATGTATGAATGAATGAATGGATGTGTGTCCGCAGCTTTAAGTGGTATCTCCTCCTCAACGAAGCAATATCGAGGACTAGTTCCAAAAGCAAATATGTTAAGCAAGTTCCAAGGATGAATGTGGGCCAAAAAAATTCCCGGAATTCCTTCTTGGATTTCCCTGAAAAGCCAAAAAACCTCGAACAAATGCAGTTTTTGCTCCATATCTCGGCAACCAGACCACTAAGCGACTTGAAACATTTACCAATCGATTCCTGCCATAATTTAGAACAATATTGCCGAAGAAAGTTTTCAAAAATATCCTTTCGTTCGGTCACACATTTTTTTTAAAAATTATTTAAACTGAGCATCGTGTAGGCCTAGGATGATATTTTAAACTGAGCATCTTGTAGGCCTACTCGTTAAAATAAAACTATTTCCGTTGATATAGGTCAATATAGTTGTCTTTTTTTTTACTTATTAATTCAAACGTTATTTTTGTACCCTATTAATTTATTTATAATTTATATGAGAGTGATAGGGAGTTACTATTACAAGGTTTTTTTTCGCTAGGCCTAATCATTTTTTCACATTTAAAAAAAAAATTGATTAAGGAAATTGCGCTTAAATTGTCACTAGACGTTTTATTAACTTGTTTTGTAGTAACTTGGTCTGTGTGTTGTCGCTTAGGGTGGAGTGGGGGGGGGGTCATTCTTTTCAATGAGGGAGTAATGACAATCGTCCTTTCTTATCATGATGGTATTATTCTTATCTTAAAAGTACTTGCAAAAAAAATCAGATTTTTTTTTTTTTAAATAGAGTACCGGTACTGAAAAAAAATTAATTTGAAACTTCAAACTTCAAATTGCCCGAAATTTACGTGTTTATTTTAATCTCATAATTATTAAAAAATTTTTACTGATTGTGTCAGTAAGAGACTTAAGTGCCCTCTACTAGAAGAGTGGCTACAATACTAGACCCCTTTAGGGAGAAAAAAAGGATTTTTTTCCCTCTGCGCATAACTCGAACAAGACAAGGATTTTGTGGAGCCACGAAAATCTCGAGTGCTGTGTTTGCTCGCGGTTACCTTGATTCCACATACACATTCCAGGACAGGGAGGGAGCAATCGAGGGCAATTTGCCAACTTGGCTGCATTGGGATTGATAGTTTTACAGGAGGGAGGGAAGGGGTCGAGAGGGAGGGATGGAGAAAACAACGGCCTAATTGGCTGGAGAGTTTGCTAGCCTCTAACACAAGAGATCTTACTCTCCAGCGGCTAACGTTGTTTTCATTCTCTACTTAAGCATCATCGATATTCATACCAACGTCACACAATACATGTGTATCTTTAAAACTACATTCGTATTTATTTATTTAGGCATATGTGTGTGTATGGAAAATAAATAAGTATGAATTGCGCATGTGTCTATTCAAAACCAGGAAAAAACAACAACAAAAAACAGCTGCAGCTGATATCTGCTGTCTGGTTAGCTACACGTAAATGCATCTTTTGTTCTTTTGCGTTCGTCTGTTTCTCTGCGCCTTTTGAAACTATCCACATTCGTTGCAGTGTTTCTTTTTTCCCCCGTCAATTATTCCAGGTTTTCTTTTATGCAGCGAGCAACAAGTTTTATTCTTGCCTTGACATTTGTCTCCCCGAGTGTGTCTTAATCCTTTTCTATGTGTATGTCTACATATAAGAAAAAAAGAGCGAATGGCACGCTATTGTTGAGAAGTTCCCTCGCCAGAGGTCTCGGTGTTTGCTCGGCAGTGCTGCAAACAATAATTGACTCCTCGCCGTGCCTGCCCCACGGCTTCCAAATTGCCAGGCTCTTAAAGGTCACTGACATATTCCCTTCCGGTATCTAAGGTTGCCAGAAAAAATGTTGTAACGTAGGAGCGACTTTTCTCTACAGTATTTTGTTACGGGACCCGCCATGATGGATTCTTACATCGTTCAGTGACCCCATCCAGTTGTTATGTAAACCTTTGCAACAAAAGGAATATAAGAACGTACAGATACAGAGTGGTTTTTTTTTTCATGTATAAAATTACATTAGACCAAATGACTAGCAAAATACGGGTAGCTCTAATTGTTGAATGCCTGCTAGTGACTTGTCAACGGCTAGATGCGAATAATTGTTTCCACTCTATTATCTCCTTACACGTCCCCCCCCTCACCCATTATCTCCCCCCACCTCCTCCTATTATCTCCACACACGGATCCCCCGTGGGTCGAGACCTAACCTTCATTTTCCTGTCCCCCGGGATTCTGACATGGTCATTAAGATCACTTGTCCGCGGGCCATTACTTGACTCCAGTCAAGGGCTTCTCTTTGACCATTGGTCGATTGCAGCTAATCTCTGACCGCGGGTCCATCTACATAACTGGCATTTCCCCTTTAAAGAGTTGAAGAAGGTCCTCTAATTAATGCGACAAGCCCGAGTCCATACATGTGTATTGTGGTTGAGTGTGTAAAAGTCACATTTAAACCACATTTAATTAGAGCTACAACCACTACCACATTAAAGTTCAGTCCAAGCTCAGATTGTCTGTGCTATTTGTACATCTTAAAGTTGTACTAGAGTTGATATTTGAAAGCAGTCAATTGCGCGTTGTTTTTGAAGCAAGTAGGCCTGGTATGCCACAGTAAACAACACCTAAATCTAGGCTTAGATCTATGTGTATCAGTGGCCGAGCCAGCAAGTGAGGTTTATAAAGATCTGTGTGTTGACAAAGTCTGGTTTTGTTATTGTTCACGTGGGTCCTCACTAAAACATTTTTCTTGTTTTTAATGTTGGCTTTTTCAACTATACAAAGTTAGCATTGGGTATTTTCAAAATTACATTAAATTAAATGCTCCCCCTATAAACGATTTAAACGTCTCTTCCTGAAACTCTGCAGCATAAACTAAACGCCCATCTGGTAATACATGGAACCAGACACCCAGCTTTTTTAAATCTAACCGCTAACGATATTTAGCACCGTTAACGTAAACTTCTTGAAAGAAAGCCCTACAACTGATTACCTACCTGCTCTAAAGAGTTCTTATCTTATAAAGTATATTTTATTTACCTAACAGTTTCTTTTCGCTGCAGCGCAAGATATTTATTTTTTATGTTAACTGTTTTTTAACCAATTTACGACCTGAAAAAACTAGTCACATACATCATAGTCTAGTCCTATCTCAGACAAGCTTATACCTGAGCCATTTCCGGCTCTTTCGATGATAAAATACAACTTGTTTTTATTACCTACAAAAACTAGTAGAAGTAAACTTTGTACTTTGTATTATTCATCGTTATAGAGTTTGTTTTTTCCCAATGATAACAGATCTATAAAAAAAAAACAACCTTTGAGCTGTTAACGTATTATGGTTTATAAACAATCTAGCCAATTGTTCCTGACTAGCCAAAAGTTGTTGACCTCTGACCCCGGTCTAGTGTACAGCCTAGACAAGTGCAGCAGCCATTTTAGAGCGGGTAAACATTTTAATTGGCTGTCTGGCACACGAGCGGTGCACCACATCACGAGCATGCAAGAGTGGAAAAAATCGTTGGCTTTTGCTCACGAAGAATCGGGAAAATCGAACACTAGACTTCAGGAATAGTTCATCACGTGCATAATTAAATGATTAAAGGTGTCTTGATGTATTAGTGGGCCATTGAAAAATACATCAATTTTAGCGAACTTCCTAAATGTGAATCAAATGTATGCATCAGTAAACTATGTCTGTGTGTGTGAACTGGATGTATAGTTTGTTCTAAAACTCAACTGAATCTTGCTGTATAGTTTGTTCTAAAACTCAACTGAATCTTGCTGTATTTTTGTTTTCAGTCTGTAAAACGTGCATTCTACGCTACCTGGAGACGAGCAACTACTGCCCCATATGTGAGGTACTCATACACAAGACACGACCTTGGCAGAATATTAGGTAGGTCACCGTGTGTACTGACCCCTTCACTGGGTCCCCCAGAAACGTTCAGTACACTACAAGAAATACCGTAACCACGCAGGCTATGTGTTTCATTAAGCTTGTCAGTTTCATTGCTATTAGGATATTTTTATATATTCGCATGGTAAATAAATAAACCAATAAATCGAACGTAATTTTTATAGTCATAGGCTCAACAAGCCTCACTTTAATGTGTTGTATGTATAAATACTATCTGTACGTAAGCTGAAATTTAATTTTAAAATCTTATTTTTACTTGGTTTCGCTTGCCTTAACTATAACCATACTATGACCACTACTGTTTTCTTCTTCATCAAGGCTGGACCATTCGCTACAAAACGCCGTCTACAAGATGGTACCGGGATTATTTCAAAGTAAGTCACTTTTATTTTATGCCGATCTTTAGGTTAGCGTTTTTTGTCTAGCAGTTATGCGCGTGAGGGAGCAGCCCTTTTGTCCGTGAGTACTAGATCAGGCTAAGCCCCTCTAAGAGGGTGGGGCGGCCCCGTCGTGACCGTGGCAACACGTGGACCATGATCAGAGATTTCTTTCTCCCCCACTCCCAGGGCCAGACCGTTGCGACCCCAGGATTTATGTGACATTACCCGTTGTTTGATTGTAGGCTACTTTTAACAGCTCGCGTCAGATGTGCGCCATATTGGCCCGCCTGGCTATGAATATTTATTTGCGTGACATCTTTGTGTAAGATTATACAATTATATAGCTCGATTTAGGGAATAATACAGGTATATTGCTTTATTGGGGGCTGCCTCGTGGTGCCTATAACAGATGGGAATTTTTGTCACACTGTAGCCATAAACTTGAAGTTAAAGTGCATAGCTCGCAAAGAACTAAACATAGTTTTGACTTAATCTCTTTACGAAATTAAATAATCAGAACAGATGTTTAGGTCGGTTGTGTAATGTGTATTCTAATATGCAGTGAAAATTGTGCGTAATGTGTTTTGTAATCAGATGTGTAGTGGGTTATGTAATGTTATTGAATGAGGATCACGTAGAAAAACTTTTATTGTGTGTGCTAACATTTGGAGTGTAAGAACCAAGTCAAGCTATGTAAAAAAAAAAAATTATAAAAAATAAAGCTGCTTGTTCTATAATTATTTGAGAGTGAAGACCGGCAATTGTAAGTCTTGTTTAGCGAAAGACATCAACCTCTGCAGATGGTATTCGACTTAACTAATAAGTCACAATTCAAGACAGGTCTATATGTTTTATGATACCGTCATGAGATTTGACAGTCTTTAAGTAAACAATTCCCTTCCCTATTACAAGTTATCCACCTCTCGCCGTCATATCTTAGTTTTCACCCTCGTCAAGTTGACGCTCAGTGTATGGTACATGTGACACTGGTGTTCGATTAACGGCAGTTGACGCGGTGTTAGTGTTATCTTCCCTTGGCACTTTTGTCTAACAGACTGTCTTTTACTTACAGATGAGATGAAGAGACGGAGGGAGTTCTATGAGAAACACAAGCAAGAAGGTAAGCTTTGTTTTTCTTTCCACTCGTTTTTTATTCTCATTAAAATAATTATCGGCAGACGAGATAACAGAGAAAAATTTATTGACGTTTCGATAGACCATTGTAATTCCGTAATTTTAAAAAAAAAATCAAGGTATAAAGCCAATATTATTTGTTTTGGAAATGTAAGGTAATTTTATTTTAAGGATTTTGTTTTGTTTTATATATTTTAAACTCTAATTTGGAAAAACAGAGTGTGTTAAAACGTATTCATAACTTTATGTGGGAAATTAAAAATGCGAAACAAAAATTCTCTATGCCATTTTCAATCCAGCAATCCAAAAAACGAATTAAATATAGTGTTACATATAACGAGCCCAAATAATCTCGAGTAGACCAATTTCACACTTACTCACACCATTTCCTAGCCCCGACGCTTTTGGCTCATTCGGCACCACGCTCGTCCACGTGCATCTTTTGTCCACCAGCGCGTTCTTTTCTATTTTTGCTCGCGCCGGCAGCATACTTACCGCGCATGTGTAGACAAGCAGCGTGGGCTAGTGATCTGTGTAGGGTAATTGTAGAAAATTGATGACCATACCTAGTCTGGCACATACCTAATTAGGTTACCTAGTCTATTACGTCGTTTACGCTAATTAAAGCCTTGGCTAATTAGAAAATAATGGCCCCCGCTGTCTGTGTTGTGTTTCTTCCAATTACGTCTGCAACAATTACCAGGTGTTGCCCCCATCGAACACGTTTGAAAATTGGAGGCACATTATTTCCTGCCAGATTCAATATTTAAACGGACTATTGATGTCTGATAGTCTTTGTCTTCTGGCTGCTTATATTTTACAATGCGCGGCTAGCGGGGTAGGAATCTTGTTGGTTTTATGGCGACATTCTTTACCTGAGTTGGGGGGTGGGTGGAGGGGGGCGTTACTAGGGGTGTACTTTAATCGGTATCTTCGTAACTGGAGTTATCGTAAATTGTGGTGGTCGTAAATTTAGATATTCGTAACTTTGGGTGTTCTTAACTAGAGTTTTCGTACATTTGGATTTTCTTTTCGCTCATAAGTTCTACCACATAAATGGGAATATCTTAAAGAATGTCATCTATACCTGATAGGAACAAATCGCCTTAAATATAACTGATACAACATGGATTTCACCGTTTTCCGACAGGGTCATTTCGGTGTAAATTCTTGCCGGTATCGCAGCGATTCCTTTACTCCTTTACCAACTGTTGTATTGAAAGGAAAAACTATTTAGATGGATCCTTTATTGCCTAGCTATAGATCAGCGGTTTTTAAATTGGAAAGCGCGGACTAGTGCCAAGGGAGGCGCGAAAAGTTGATCGCGATTTACGAAGTATTTTTAAATATACAAATGCAAATAATTGTTTATTTCTCAGACGTTGATAGCGATTTACGAAGTATTTTTAAATATAAAGATGAAAATAATTGTTTATTTGTCTGTAGTTGATCCCGATTTACAAAGTATTTTTAAATATAAATATACAAGTAATTGTTAATTTCTCAGTAGTTACGTTGTCTCCGTGTGTAATTTAAAGTTACCGTAGAACATAGAATTACTCAGCACAGTTCAATTTTCTTGCTTGTTTACACGCCCTACACTCTGACATGTAGAAACACGAACACACGGACACAACGCAGAGAATACACACAAGTAGTAGCTATACAATGCATAAGAGTGGCCCATACAAGGTTATAGTTGATACAATTTTTAAAATTACGATAAAAAATGTAACTAAACATGTGCTGTTAAGTTTGTCACGTGTTAGGACATTTACATTGCTGCGTCATTTACGCTCAACATCTCCACCTGAGGTTCTTTCAGGCATCTTTTGGGGGGGGGGGGGGGGCGACCCACTATCCGAAGCACGTCTAACTTTCCTAGAACGAAATAGAATTCATATAGGTAAAGTTTACCATTGTCCGACGCCTCCTCCTGCCCCTGAAAAGTTAGCCCCCCCCCCTCCTCCACATACACACCAAGTGCGATCTTTGATGAAGTGGATCACCCCACATTTGACGTGAACCTCGGGGTTCGGGCACCACGTTGTTAATGTCGTCACTTCCTGTTTCGTTTCAGACAAGCGGGGCAGGCTACTGCCCGAGGGTGAGGTAGGAGACCGGATTATCTTCTCACAGGATGAGGAGTTCAGCATATCCATCGAGTTCTCACCTGAGTAAGTCACTCGTACATTGTGGGTAAGGGTTGGGGTAGAGAAAATGTGATAAAGAAAGGATTCATGTGGATAAAGGGCTTTACGATTGAAGGTAGAGAAAATATTTTAAGGTAGAGAAAGTGTGTCAACTAACTTTACTTGAGATTAGGGAATTTAAGCAAAAACGAGAATTAAATTTTGTTTCGTGACAATTATTGGCTGACAGTAGTTGTATCTCCCGTATTGATTGGACTTTAGTATTGGTGGGAGGTTTTCCTACTTACATGAAATACCTTTTATTCTTACGAACCATTCTTTTATCGGTCAACTCTCAACTGACCTAACTTTTATTTACAGCGGCAAGCCAGTGGCAGACACCAAAACCACGTCACTCAAACGTCAGAAAACGAACGTAAGTTTTTAAATCAATTAACTGACTGTTGTACCGTATTGTTCTAAGCTTGTGTCCGTAGAGGTTAAGTGAGCTTCTATCTGTATTCTCTCTTGACACATCGTCTGTCCCCAAACAGTGCTTCTTTCAGACATTTTTCTCCCGGGTGGGTGGGGGAAGGGGGCACTTGAAACTTCCGGGGTGCTGACACTGGTTAAAGTATGTTTTATATATAAATTATATTTCATTCGGGGTAAGGGGGGGAGGGGGTTAACGTGCGTCTTGCCCCCCCCCCCCCCCCCCAACCGCCTCCCGCCGAAGATCTGCCTGAAAGAAACACTGGCCCCAAAAGACAGCAAGCACTACTTAATTCAAACTGAAACTTACCTGTTAATTTTTTCACCGCGTTTTGGGTTGAATTTTTAGTGGGAATTTTTTCTTTACAAGAGGTTTGAATAAAAATTAAATGACTAGACAGTTAAGGAAGAGATTAAAAGTGATAGGGCTTTGAAATAGATAACCGAGCAATTCACTGTTTTAGCTAAGGTTTAGGTGAACGATAAACTGTTTCAGCTTTGGTTTAGTTAGGCCGATAAACCGTTTCAGATTTGATCTAGTTAGGTCGATCAACTGTTTAAGCCTTGGTTTAGTTAGGCCGATAAACTGTTTCAGCTTTGATTTACTTAGGCCGATAAACTGTTTCAGCTTTGATTTACTTAGGCCGATAAACTGTTTCAGCTTTGATCAAGTTAGTCCGATAAACTGTTTCAGCTTTGGTTTAGTTAGGCCGATAATCTGTTTCAGCTTTGGTTTAGTTAGGCCGATAAACTGTTTCAGCTTTAATCAAGTTAGGCCGATAAACTGTTTCAGCTTTGATCAAGTTAGGCTGATAAACTGTTTCGGCTTTGGTTTAGTTAGGCCGATCAACTGTTTCAGCTTTGGTTTAGTTAGGCCGATAAACTGTTTCAGCTTTGATCAAGTTAGGCCGATAAACTGTTTCGGCGTTGGTTTAGTTAGGCCGATCAACTGTTACAGATATGGTTTAGTTGGGCCGATCAACTGTTACAGCTTTGGTTTAGTTAGGTCGATCAAATGTTTCAGCTTTGGTTTAGTTAGGCCGATAAGGCCGATATAGTGTTTCAGCTTTGGTTTAGTTAGGCCGATAAGGCCGATATAGTGTTTCAGCTTTGGTTTAGTTAGGCCGATAAGGCCGATATAGTGTTTCAGCTTTGGTTTAGTTAGGTCGATCAACTGTTTCAGCTTTGGTTTAGTTAGGTCGATCAACTGTTTCAGCTTTGGTTTAGTTAGGCCGATAAGGCCGATATAGTGTTTCAGCTTTGGTTTAGTTAGGCCGATAAGGCCGATATAGTGTTTCAGCTTTGGTTTACATATTGTAGCTCCTCGATGTATACTAGTCAAATAATGAAGCCGGTCGTAAAATAACAGAACCGGTCGATTACAACGTAGAATCGGTTGTTTGTTAACAGTCGCTTTTCATAAAACCGGTTGTTGATGCAAGCATTTACAATGTAGACTTGAAGAAAACAAGCAGTAACTGTGGAAAACATCCGCAGGTAGCACCGGTATATACAACAGACATCTGCCGCTACTTATATGATTGCCGATAGGGTTTTACAATATAGAGGTGTTAACTTGCCGGTATCGCTGCAAGGACTGGAGCCACTGTTAGAATCGGTGCCAGAGCTAGCGTTACGATACCAGCGATAAAGTAAGCTCGATTTACCTCTGTTGACGATAAAATAGTTAACCCGTTAAGTAACCTCAATATAGTTCTCTCGACGACTAAATAATTAACCCTTTAATTAAGCTCGATATAGTTGTGTCGACGTTTAAAATAGTTAACCATTTAAGCTTGATATAGTTCTGTCGACGTTTAAAATAGTTAACCCTTTGCGACTTGTTAGATGAAATGGCGTGGCCAGAAACAGTTGTAAATAAAACATTTCTTTAGAAGTGAAGTCATTGTTTTATATTACTTTGTTAAACACCTAGACTTGGCACACAATCATTCCTAAAACATAAAATAAATAAGACATCTGTGTAATTGGTATCACCATTAACGCTATAAATAAACTATTTTAAAAGAATTAAGTCATTGTTTTATATTCTTTTGTTACACTAATTTTGTATTCACGCAAACCAACATCAACGAACCTTGCAAGTAGATCTAGTATCGTAAGGAAACGCACAGCTAAAATAACCAGTTATTTTTCTTTTAAAATAAATTAAGCCATTGTTTTATATTCATTTATCACCCAATACTGGCACAATCATTCAACAAACTAAAAAAATAAATACAACGGGCTGTGTAATTGGTATCCTAATGAAGCTGGCATCCCCAAGTACAAAACTTGAAATGAATCACCCAAACCACGCAACTATTCTCCAGACTACACGGAAAGGAGGGGGGAGGGGGTGCGCGCATGCTAATGGAACTCAGCCACTCCGGCCGCCCCGGCACAAAACTAGCTTTTTTTTTTCCTCGACACGTTCGTCGTTTAATTTAATTTAATCCGGGCATTTGTCCGTCACGTGCCATTACGCATTAATAGGCAGGCCTCAGCCAATAGCCGAGCGACACAAGGCTGGGAAAATAAAAGCAAGCGTATCCGTAACTCTCTCTATTTATATCTCGAGCCATACACCATTGCTGTTCTATTTATAACAGCCATTCTTATTTGTCCGTGCGACATTTGAATGGTGTGATAAAAACATTTGTAAAGAATCTGAATATAGATCTATGGGTATAAAAATTTACTTTCGCTTCAGATATCTCGCGAATTTATTTGTGCAAGCAAAATCAATATTTAAGCCCTTAGGCTTAAGTTAAAATTTTATGCATCTCTTCCAATTCTTATCATCTTCTTTACTATTAACTTGATGGTTAAATTATCGACGATAGGTTTTTATTATTCAATTATTGAAGTTCATAAAGAGAAGAAGTATCAAACAACTATTTGTATAAACGATAGGCTATATATAACTGTTTAAACGGAAAGAATAATCTTACCTTTCTTCTCACCCCCCCCCCCCGGCCCTCCATTCTCATCGCTGTTCAATTAGACAGCGCATGCGTGAAGCAACGATTTAATTGGCCGTGAAGTGGCACCGTTTCCATGTCTGGCACCGATAGCTTCTTCACAAGTTTGTATTCAACAGCTACACAACACACGTGATCATCTATTGAATGTGCCGTGACAGTATAAACACACGTGACACCGATAGCTTCTTCACAAGTTTCTATTCAACAGCTACACAACACATGTGATCATCTATTGAATGTGCCGTGACAGTATAAACACACGTGATCATCTATTGAATGTGCCGTGACATTTTATTTTGAGACTAGTGTAGTAGTTATTGTTGCTTCGTCAAGGGGGAGGGGGTGCTTTAGGAGTGAACCATTTAATCGCCTAAGGTTCTTAAAACCTCAGGGCTGTAGCTACACTTTTCCACACTTGATTTGTTCCGTCCCCTCCCCACCCCAATATTTTTTTAAAGTACCGAGCCTGAACCCTCCCCACTGTATTTTCACTAATGAACTTACGCGTAGGATGATACATCAGTTATCTTAATCTCGTTAAGAGATCGCCAAAAGATGTATGGAAGCACAGTAAACTTGGTGTACGGCTAAGCACACATGGAACAATGGGCTGGATGCATGAGCTTCATGTTATGTAGTTTGTCTGGCATATCAACTGTTTTAGTGGACAGAACAGATAAAATACCTACAAATGACATGTTACGTACTTATGACAAGTTTAGATGACATGTATTTATGACATCTATCAATGACATGTATAGTTGACATCTCCCTATAAGTGTTTCACCCCTGTTACAAGTCTGCTTCTCTCCAACAGTGCCAACATGATAAACGCTACCTCAAGTGTCCAGCAGCTTTGAGGATTGAACACCTGAAGAAGTTCATCAGGTCCAAATTTTCATTGCCAGCGTCAATACAGGTAAGTTTATTGGTAGGCACAGTTTGGCACATCCATTGCAGTATAGAGCCAGCTAGTTGGTGCAGAGTTTAATGTACTACCACTTACAGAAAGGTGTATCACAATAAGTCAAACACCTTTAGTTTATATTGTTGGTTTCCATTGACCATCTTTAATTCTTGATGTTTTCTTCAATAACCAATGTTTTAAAAAAAATATTTCCACTAATCTTTCATTGACCATAACATTATTTTACCCAACTTCCTCTCCAGATTGACTTATTCCTGGAGAAAGAACCACTATGTGATTCCTTTACCCTCATGGACGTAGCATACATTTATATGTGGAAACGGGTACGTTGTTACTTTCAGCCTAAACTTGACCAGTCCTTCTCCTTAATAGGGCTGGTAAGTAGGTCACCAACCAGTTAAATGGCTCATGCAGGTTGTATTGAGCCGTAGAACTGTTTGGTGACCTACTTACCAGCCCTATTCTCTACCTACTGCTTACCTTATTTTGTTTCTGTCTCATTGACTCATCGTATACAGTTGTCTTTAGGCTTATTTTATCTCCTCTTTTCTCAGGACTGTGTTTTGAGGCTCTTTTACTCCTTTTTTGAAATTCCTGCCAAGATTCGGAAAGTTGAAACTGTGACCTTGAACTCTGAGAAGGTCAGTAAGAAAAACAAGGTTACAGACAAGAAAGATGGCACTGAAGACAAACAAAAGGAAGACAGAAAGACTAAGAATCGGAAAGAAAAACCTAGAGAAAGAAAACAGACAAATATAACGGGAAAGGGGGAGGTGACAGCTAACCAATCTACTGCCAGTCAGCAGCCAGCCAACCATGTTGCTAGCTGTGAAAAAAATCAGATAATTTTATCCAGCCATAATTCTAGCTGTGAAAAGAACAATCCAGTGATACCCAGCCATGATGTTGGCTGTGATAAAAACCAACCAATCAGTGCCAGCCACACTACTGGCAATGAAAAGAACAACTCAGTCATAGCCAGCCATAACAATGGCCTTGAGAAAAACCAGCCAATCAGGGCTAGCCATGATTCTAGCTGTAACAAAACTCAGCCAGTTGTCACCAGCCATGATGAAGGAAGCACCAGAAACCAACCAGATCTGTTGATGAACTGTTCCAATGCTCATCTAAAACGGAAACACTCAGACACTGGTCAGTCCAAGAAAAGCCCCTCTGTTGTAAAGCAAGGCAAGGTCCCCCCACAGACCAACATTCTAAAGCAGGGCAAGGTCCCCCCACAGACCAACATTCAAAAACAGGGCAAGGGCCCCCAACAGAACAGCATGCAAAAGCAAGGCAAGGGCCCCCCACAGAACAACATGAAGACGGGCCCACCACCAGCCAAACAAAGATGTACGTCCTACTCCATTGTGACCAGCTCCAATACTCCAGACAAATGCATCAACCCCAAAGAAAACTCAAAGTCTAAGACCTCTTTAAAAATGCTGATCAAATCTTCAGACAATAAAGTTTCAAAAACATTTCAAGTTTTGCCTACCCCAAAACCTTTCCAGAATGGTCAGATGGTGTCCATCACAGTGAATTCCAACTTGTTTGAGCGGATGGGGTCTCTGACCAAGCAACCCCTGCAAGAACCCCCTGAGGTCACGGCTGAGGTCACGACTTTTAGTCTTCAGAAAAAATCCAACCAAAAAAAGGTAAAAATCAAAGACATTGCCAAAACCACAACAAATGGTACAGACATCCAAACAATTAAACTTGGTCATGAGACAGAGTTGAAGAGTGACAAAATAACACCTACAAATGGCATCAAGGCAGGTCTGTCCCACAGAGCCAATAAAGGTGCTGATCTTGATGCTAAAACAGATACGAAATTCACTGATTCCTTCTCAGACAATTCAAAAAAGGAGGATTTAAAAGATGATGCGAAAATAATCTCAGAGACTGATATTAGTAGCCAGCCAGTAGTCAAATGTGACTCTCCTACAAAGTCTAGCTCGGATAAAAAGTGCTTCATAGATACAAATTTAAACCTCGGTTCAAAATGTGAGCCTGCTATAAAAATGGACACTGAAAGAAAATGTGAAATGTCTATAAAAACAGACTCCAGCCCAAAGTGTGAGGCGTTGACCAAACAGGAATGTGTGAAACAAACGGACCTGGAAACAAAATGTGATGCTGATTTGAAGTTGAGTCCCAGCTCTAAATCTCCTCTTGCTAGTGTTAAAGAAGAGGGGACCCCTAAACGAGTTCTTCTCCAGGTTGTCAATAAAGTGGGGATTGGGAAAAAGGAGAATGAGGTAGACTTGAAAGAGAAACAGCCACTAATTGTAAGTAATGACACAAAAGACGCAGATTCAGTTAAAATAAATTTCCAGAAGTTACCAGAAATAGGTACGGATGCTGATGTCAAGCCAGACAATGTTGATGCCAAGAAATCTCTGCCTGTTGTTGTCTGTAATGGGGCCCCAGAAACATTAGACCCAGGCCCTAAAGACTATTCTACCAAAGGTGAACATCATTATTGTAATGGAACATCCGCAATGGATTTGAGCTCCAAGTCTCAAGTGGTCAATGCCAAGAAATCTGATGATGGGAATTCCATCAGCAGCCCAAAGTGTGAAGAAGAGAAAGAGTTAAAGAGCTCCACTGCTGATTCTACTTCTGCAAGTAAGTCTACACCAGGTTGTAATAACCAGAAAGTACACTCCATCTCTAGCCAAAAGTCCTCAGACCCTAAGGTTGGGGGCGTGTCCTCAGCACAGCTGTTGAAAGCCAACGCCCCCACCAACAGTGTGAGGTCACTTCCTGTTACCTGCACTATCTCTTCCATTGTCACAGTGCCTTCTGCACCCAGCAGAAGCCCCTCCCACTCTGTCATCTCAGTACCAATCATTTCATCTACCACAAACACTGCCTCTGTCTCAGTGGCCGGAACCTCGTCACTGCCACATAACTTAACCACTTCGTGCACAACGTCTACTGCCAAGTCTTCTGTCACTATGACAACGACAGCCTCAACTAACCAGTGTAAAGCCACAGACCTAACAAAGCCCAAATCACAGACAGAGAACATTGTACCTGTTTCTAGTGCACCTGTTTCTAGTGCACCTGTATCCAGTACACATGTAAACAGTACACCTTCATCAAGTGCACCTGTATCTGGTACACCTGTATCCAGTACACCTTCATCAAGTGCACCTGTATCCAGTACATCCGCAAACAGCACACCTGTGCTATGCTCACCTGTACCTAGTACACGTGTATCCACGCCTGATATTATCTTCCCAATCAAGTCACACCAGCACAGCAAAACCCCCCCAGCATCCAGCCCAACCCCCAAGTCAAGCTTCATCAACACTGGTCTGGCCAGCCTTGACAACACCTTCCTCATCACACCCCAGAGAGACACGGCTGCCTTAACAACATCACACAACTCCCCCAAACCTGAATCATCTGCCATCAAATCTTTCCCTGAAGAAGTCAAGCTAGATAACTTCCTCTTTGACACCAAACCATCAGAGAGGATTTCCCCAGAGTCCTCCATCACTACAACAGCCAAGCCTAGAAATGAGCATATCCTCAGTGAGAAACCTGTGAAGAGGGTAGAACCCCAACTGACAGCCATGCACCAACTCCCAAAGACAATCTCCCAGAGTTCCAAACCTTACTCAGTGGCCAGGTCTGTCAGCGTGTCTTCCCACTCCAAGCTCAACAACAACATCATCCAGACCACCAAGATCAGCACGCTGATACCCAAGTCCAACTCCGTCACATCCAAGTCCAGCATGTATCCCAAATCTTCAGCATACCCTTCCACGATAAACAACGTTCCATCACCCAGAGCTTTCCTGAACCCGGTGATGCCCTATCAGATATCCAGACCAGAGCTAGCAGTAAACGGCAGTTCTGAGTATGACCAGACCGTGTCACCTAAAGGACCTTCGTCCATGTCAGTCAAGTCAGCCTCTCACAGTAAAACTTCACTTACAAAACATGCAAAGGAGGTTGAGAGTAAGGCTGAAAAAACTAAAACAAAAAGTATCCCTCCACTGACCATCCCAAAATCCACCTTAGTGAGCACGACATTAAAACTACAGCGGTCACCTGGATCCACTGACCATTACATATTTGCTCCACATAGCCATTACTCCTCATCCAGTCATTCAAACGGGGACCGACCCAAGCCTAAAGAAAAACATGCAGCATCTCGCACCACGTCTTCAGCAGCCGCTGCCAAAAGAGGTGTCTACAACGGTGAAAGGCAAAGGGTCCCCACTATAAAAATCTCTGACATCAACAGAAACCCAATCATTGTAGAGAGCGGCAGCAGCGCTCCGCTCTACCGGAACCAGGCGCACAGCAGTCCCCGTTTGTCCATGGCTGAGAATGGACGCAACCATTCCAGAACTGGCAGCGATTCCAGCCTGCCTAACGGCACGACTGATAGAATAGCAAGAGATAGCCGGCGTCCATCTCAGTCTGAGCTACTGTTGAGTCAACACTGGCGGACCTACCAGGCCGCTGACCTTCTGTTCAATGGTTTCAAACTGCCAGCCCATGGCAAGTTCCATGACCTGCATTACGACACGGATGCTATGCCACTGGACTATTCGCAGTCCTCATCCAAATCATAGCTGGCTACACACTGTTGTGATGTGTCAAAGTCATTCATATCTGGCTACCCACTTGTGTGATGGTCAAATTCATTCAAATCTGTCTACACACTGTTGTGATGCATCAAATTCATAGCTGGCTAAACATTTTGTGAAAGCAATTTTTTCTCTTAGCTGTAAAATCTGAGTCAACAAAAAAAATTGTTTTTTTTTTGTCTTTACTCAAAGGATTACTAAATATTGTGACTTATTCCCAAAAGGATTACTAAAAAGTGAAACTGTTTCCAAAAGGATTAATAATTATTGTGACCATATTCCCAAAAGGATTACTTAAAATATTGTAACCATATTCCCAAAAGGATTACAAACTAATTTGACTGTTCCCAACAGGATTACAAATTATTGTACTGTTTGAAAAAGGATAAATAACTGTTGTGACTGTTTCCAAAAGGATTTACAAACTATTGAGACCAGAGTCCATTTTCCCAATGGATTATATTGTGATAGTATTATTTTGTTCATGTTTCCTATTACCTTATTTATCTTATTTTTAGACTCTGTTCTTAATCAGAATGTGTTACGTACATTTGTATGTATGAATTATGTACATTTGTACGAATCTGGAGGTGTGTCCAATATACCATTGTACAATAGCTGAACAATGCTACCCCAGGTACTCAAGGGTTACAGATTGGATTGTTTCAATAATTAACAACCATGTGATTTAAATCCAGCTAACATTTAGCTGTGAGGTTGCAAAAAAAAAAAAGAAATCTTAACTGGAAGATGTGTGAACTATAAAAACTTTTTGGCTAGACCTTGTAATTTTTATCTGGCATCCCAATTATTTTTTTTTCTAGTGTAGCTTGTACTTGTAGCTTCATGTATTGTGTGACTAAATATTATATTTAAGCTTTCTCCTATTGGAGGAAATTTGTTGTGATTTTTGCGTTGACTTTTTGACAGAGGTTTTGTTAGTGTAAAATATAAATTCAAAATCTAATATTAACAAGTTATATGCTGCAAGATTTAAGACTGCACTACTGAAGCTAGTGTTATTTGTGGTCACTGTTTACCAATATTTCTCTTTCCTCTTTTAGATAATTCACATATTGCCATAATTATTTCACATTTAATGCATGAGGTGGGTTTTGTCATTCTCTGTTAAATATATTAGATCTAGAGTCTAATGGTTTTTCTGGCCTGCTCAATTCTGTTTTTTTTTCTGGCCAATCAATTCTGTTCTGGTCTTCAATCTGTGTTTCTGACCTACTTATTTAACCTAACCGGTTAAAGTATTTAAAAAAAAAAACATCCTAATTTTTTTTAAAAAGATAAAAGTGGCTCATAGTCATAGCCTTTCAAAACATAGGTCATGGCTTTGTCTTTAGTAAGGATTCAAGTAGGTCATTTCTCGACCAACCTAATTTAACCTAGGTCACCACTTTGTCTACATTAAATCTAGGTCAGAGTTCGACCTACATAAAGTTTAAATTAGGTCACCACTTTGTCTACATTAATCTCAGTCAAAGTTCGACCTACATATAGTTTAAACTAGGTCACCACTTTGTCTACATTGAATCTAGGTCAAAGCTCGACCTACATATCTAGGTCTTACCCTAAAGTATTGAAACTTGTCACAGTTTAACCTACATTTAGCACTGTTGACCTGGCAGGTTTAAATAGGTCACGCAAACTTAAACAAAAGTAGGTCATGTTTTAGATCGTGGTCTATCATTTACCAAAGAAACTTATCCAAACATCTGATGAATGAATGAAGACATGTAATTTTCTGTACATATCTTGTAATTTATTTTTGGTGCTTTTTCTTCTTGACACCCTAGATTTGTTTTAATTTATTTATAACAGATACAGAAACATCACTAGTAAGTGAGGTCGTACATCTATAAGGTGTTTTAAATCAGATTTTTAATTGAAACAATCCGGTTGGTATTTATATTTTACTCTGGCAATCTGATTTCAAGTAACATGGTTGTTCTGTATGGACCATTCCATCTGCAATATTCATATCTTCAAGACTAACAAACCATCAAGTTCCAATTTGTGCTTAGTCAGCATTGTTCCATGGATTTGATAGAAAAAAATTTAAGCCTGCATGGTTCAGTAGAGCTAGAAGGTGCTTTAGTCCCATTTCGATATTATAATTTAATACAAGAGAAGCTCTTTCATTTTATAGATTGGGCAATGGCATTTAGTGAATTATGGTATGGCATTTAGTTCAATTATAATTAAAAGTTTAGAGTATGGCAGTTTGACGAGAAATGGCAATCTACTCACTAGTTTTTACAAATAGTCAATATATTTTTAATTATTTAATGAAAAATTGATTTTTTTTCTGTAAATGTGTAGTAGTTATGTAGTTTATTTACCACTAATGCATGAGTTAATTGTTGTGGGTTTGGGTTAGTGTTTTGTTAAGCATTATTTAAAAAAAAAAATATTTTGTATTCGCTGCAATTTAGCGCAGCAGAATACTTTAAAATCTAGTGCTGTTCTGTGCGGATTTATGATGTTCGTGGGCCACAAGTAGCTGTTGAGCTCATTCATACGTCACACGTTATGACCCCTGCAGATATTCATATACATTCTGGAGCTTACAATCCGATTCAGTTACGGTCCCCATGATCATATTTCAGACTACTGCTTGGTACGATCCCTATATATTTACAGCTCATACTTTGGATACAACGACCCTGTCCGTTGTCCTACTCCATATAATGTGTCACCCCCCCCCCCCTCAAAATTTTTATACTCACTACGACCCCTGAAGATTTCATAATGTGACCCTTCCAGTCGTCCTTTTCCGGAAATTACGAACCCTTTGATGTTGTGTCCTACTGTGGATATGTCACCCCCCCCCCCCTCAGGATTTTATACTCCGAAAATAAGAACCCTAAAGTTTCCACCTATTCCAGATATCACGACCCCTAAAGATGCCATACTTCGACCCCTCCATACTGTGACCCCTCATATGACATGAAGATATGACATGATTTTATATGGCTGTTAACACGTGATGAGGCGTTTAAAGTGCAGTATATGTACATACACATTAAATTATTATTTACCTTGAACACACCTGTGTGACGGTTGGGGAAGATTGGGTTATGCTGTATTGAGGTGTTTCTTGTTTATATGCCTGTGTCAAGTGTTTTGTTTTACATTGGATGTCAGATGTGTTACTTCGATTCTTTTAATATTGTATGTTTTTTTTACGTGTGGTAATTGGGTTGTAGAAAATGGGAAATAACTCATTTTAGACATTTTTAAGTCCCTTTTTATTTATTTTTAAAATTGTAAACAAAACAAAAAAAATCGATTTTTAAAATCTGGGCCATTGTAAATTGCCATGATCGCAGTGTCTCATGTTTAGGAAACGCTACATTTTTTAAAAAGTCGTTGGTGTATTTTTGTATTATTCAGTGAGGTGGGTGTAAACACCCTTAACTTTTGACGAACATTGTCTGACACCACTTGTTCGATGTGTCGATAATTCCAACCATGTGCCAGCAATTATTTTTTATCATGCTTATCTATCTATACCTTCGTGGACACCAGCACGACTCAAGCCGACTATCTAACCCTCCTCCCGCCCCCTCGCTCTCTAGGCATCCGCAAAAGACCATATTACTATCACCCCCACCCCCCCACCCCCAGTGTAATGAGCTGTGGTTCACGCCGAATGTTTACAATCGTAGAGCCGTGTCGAATTAGTGACAGCTATAGGGCTGGTAAGTAGGTTACCAACCAGTTCAATGGCTCAAGCAGGTTTTATTGAGCCGTAGAACTGGTTGGTGACCTACTTACAAGCCCTATTAGGGGCAGATAATTTAGTTTTTAAACGATTTGAAACTAACGGAGGTAACAAGTTTTGCTTGAGCTTTTCATTGTCATCTGTAAACTGTCGTCACGGGGGAGGTGGGGGGGGGGGGGGGGGGTAGTGTCGAATTCACTAGTTATGAATTACTGATAAGTAGAAAATAAAACAACTGAATAGCGGCGTTTGCTACGCCGCGGGTCGGCTCGTTTCGTCATGTCTGTCTGTCTGCTTCTACCCCGTTCTTCTGTCCCTATCCTGTCGTTCTGTCTTGTGTGTCTGACTAAATACTCTGCGTCAGCTAACCTCAACCCAGCCTTTTAAGTCAGCCTCTACCTTACCCTATCTGTCAGCCTCTACCCTATACTATCTGTCAGCCTCTATCTACCCTTTAGCCTCTACCTTACTTTCAGTCAGCCTCTACATCTACTTTCATTACTATCTGACAACACTGCGAACTACCTTTACCATCTAGAAAATGAACACTATATGCTTGGACAGTGTGTTATATTTAGATTTACTTCAGTATGTCAAATAATTATGTTGTTTCTTGTCAACTTTTTCTTTTCTAGACTAGCCATTCGAGCACTGCATTTGGCACATTTAAACATCAATTCATTTCATCCATTTTTAGTCTTGTTTATGGCGTCAAATATATGACATCACATTTACGAAAACACAACTAGTTGAGATGTAGTTTTTTTATCACGTTTGACGTCACGTTATTTACATCATGACGATGACGTGACGGCTACGTCATCATTCATACACGATTACCTGCTTGTGGCGTATACGTTTTGGTCAAGCTTTACTGTTGGATGTTACGAGTTCCCTATTTCAATCATGTTACACAACACTTGAATCTATACTTTTTTGTTATCACGTGACTTGCGTCACCAATTAGAATCTTTCAATTAAAAAAACTTCCGTTCGTTCATTGATTGCATATGATTATCTTTTGCTTGTATACTATAAATAGCCACTAAATTCAATGTATACTTAGATATTGATATATAAATAAATATACTATATATATACATGTGAACTCCACCCTTCCCCCTTTTCCGTTGAATTCTTCTAAAAATGTATATTGTCTTGGTACAAAGATGTAGGTCATGCTACACAAGTCTTGTACAGAATCAATAAAGTCATTGCTTTCACTTGCTGCGTCTGGTTTTTTTTTTCTGTTTTTATACATCTTTAAGTGCTTTTTTTATCATTGACGTCGTAAATCTTTACAATGTATTTTTTTAAATAAAGGACCTACATTATTTTTATATCGCAAAATCATTTTACGTTAAGGTTTTTTACAATTGTATATGTAAAACTATTTTTTTTAAAAGATTATCTTAAACAATGGAATACAAATGTAGAATAAAGTTTCCATGAACTATTTATTATATTAAAAGTCCCGTTACTTGTGTAGAAGAGATTTATACCATAAGCCATACCACAAAATATATTTGTGGAAATCTAGCAATACTACTTGTTCGTAAAAAAAAATTACAATAGAAAACCACTCGCATTCCACCAAAAAACCAACCTTCATAAACGCCCCTTAATAGACCGCCCAATCCCGTCAAAAACCCACCTCTATAAACGCCCTTTAATAGACTGCCGAATCCCACCAAAAAACAAACCTCTATACATGCTCTATAAAAGACGGCTGAATCCCATTAAAAACAAACCTCTATACATGCTCTATAAAAGACGACTGAATCCCACCAAAAACCCACCTCTATAAGCGCCCTGTAATAGACCGCTGAATCCCACCAAAAACCCACCTCTATAAAACGCCCTGTAATAGACCGCTGAATCCCACCAAAAACCCACCCGATACCTTCCCAGTTTTTATTCCATCAAATTTGAGTCGTCAGGCCGCCTGACCGGGCGATCAATAAACTGACCTTGACCTTGAAAAGGCACTCACCCAGGAGCACGCGCTGGCAACCAGATGAGGATCGATCGTGTCGGCTGTACGGTACAACCGGATGTGACGCACATGCCTGTACGTCCTACACGCGCGCCTCGTCCGACAGGACATTACACGCGTCCCACACAGGACATTACACGCGTCCCACACAGGACATTACACGCGTCCCACACAGGCGTCCCACACAGGACATTACACGCGTCCCACATAGGACATTACACGCGTCCCACACAGGACATTACACGCGTCCCACACAGGACATTACACCCGTCCCACACAGGACATTACACGCGTCTCACACAGGACATTACACGCATCCCACACAGGACATTACACGCGTCCTACACAGGACATTACAGGCGTCCACACAGGACATTACAGGTATCCACACAGGACATTACACGCGTTCTACACAGGACATTACACGCGTCCACGCAGGACATTACACGCGTCCCACACAGGACATTACACGCGTCCTACACAGGACATTACACGCGCTCACACAGGACATTACACGCGTCCCACACAGGACATTGATCAGTACATCGGCTTGTGTTGCACAGGGAGACAACTACAATCACATTCCCGAAAAGAAACGCAACTCTAAAACTGCGGCTAACAGAATTACAAGCAACAGTGAATTTAATTTATTTTTCAAGAATGTAAATAATGCAAAGCGTGTCCCCGTTACTATAGTTAACACCACTGCGCTTGTTCAATAAATAAGAGAATTATTGTGACGTTATTGACAAGTTTGAGACGTCAGATGATTGGTTAGAATGACAGGTCATTAAAACAACTCGTGTCAGTCTGACATCTTGTGGTAGTGTTGTACACAATGGTAAGGTTGCTAGACAAAATACCAACCAGCAGTATTTTTAAATAAACCGGGAGTGATCTCCCCTAAACATGCTCGAATATTCTTATATGAAACAACAGGGGATGGCAACTCGGGATATAGATATTATTTTTAATCAATTTTAAATACTTAAACTTTTTAAAATATAATAAAATCTCGTCGAAAAAAGAATTGCACACCAAGTGAACGCCAAATAAAATGTGCATACTAGTGCGGAATATTATTAGTACTTTATAAATTCACATGAGTTTTTTTAGAAATCGGAAATAGCGTAAATTACTACTTCCGGTCAACGGAAATTACTCAAAATTTGACAGAAGGCAGAGAATTAGATCTTTTACTTATATGTGAAATTTAATTTATCTATCTAAAATAGTTCTCAAGTTATAGGCTTTTGAAAAATTGAAGGTAGAAAAAAAGTTCCACTTCCTGTTATCGGAAATCGCTCAAAAGTTGATATTATCTACGATTTTGATATAATACTTATATATGAAATTTCATCAACCTAGCCGTAACGGTACTCAGACACACACACATACACACACACAGACATACAGACAAGATTTCAAAACTATGTTTTTCCGACACGATAACAAGACTTACTCTATACTTCGTATATACGAGAGTGTAAAAACAAGATAATACAAGTACTTTTTACTTTCTCGTATATACGAAGTATAGAGAAAGTCTTGTAATCGTGCAAAAAAAATAAATTGAGATTTTTACAAATCTCGACGTTTTACACCTCAATGATACGGAAAAACATAATTTTGCAATCTTGTCCGTATGTCTGTGTGTGTGTGTCTGTCTGTGTGTAAACACGATAACTTGAGTACCGTTACAGCTAGGTTGATGAAATGTCATATATAAGTATTTTATTATTTTATTAAAATCGTAGATCCGTATCAACTTTTGAGCAATTTCCGGTAACCGGAAGTGGTACTTTTTCTACTTTGAATTTTTCAAAAGCCTATAACTTGAGTACTATTTCAGATAGATAAATGAAATTTCAAATGTAAGTAAAATATCTAATTCTCTACCTTCAGTCAAATTTTGAGTAATTTCCGTTGACCGGAA